ACTCATAGTGCCGTGCCGATGAAGGCCACAGAAACAGAATAATAAACAATCAGAATACCCACTCTCCATGGAAAATTAAGTACGCACATCTCGTTCTCGCAGACGTTCCGCCATGTTTTAGAGGGAACCAGTGCTGTTTAATGAAAATTTATGTGGTGTGCTGGTGTGCATAGAAAAATTAACCCGGTTTAATTGACTTACGGTAATCATAGACATACTATACAAGTCCTTATAGGACCAGTTCCACATTTGGTCCCATTGAAGATAGCCCATCGAGCAATAAGACAAAAGAGGGAATGTAAAGGTAGTGGGGGTAAACATATTGATAGACAGGAAGTGCCATCTTGAGAGGCCACTTTAGACAAGGATAGACAGTCTCTTTCCTTGTTTAAGAAGTCAAATTTAGTTAGGTTATGTTATTGTTTGTCCCAACTGTCACATGAAATTTTATTTATATTGAAATCTTTTACCAATTGTGTCACTTTTTAGACTATTATAGTTAATATTTAATTAAAACTTTCTCGTCTGAAAAATATTTTACAGCTATTGTTAATAAGTGTTGGAAAATTTAAATTTAGCGCCTTTGCATTTCCGGATATGTCCGCCATCAGAGGCCACTTTTTTGGTCTCCTTTTCATAACGATTAGATTCCCTCTTTTATCTTTTTGCTCGATGAGATAGCCTCAAATGAGCTGTCAATTAAGTTTCACAGAACGAAATATTGAGTTTTCAGTGTTGCCATGTTCTTATAATGTATATGTTATATGCTTCAAATACAAAAAGATAAAGCTTTTAAAAGGTACATTTTTATCATATTGTTTTACGAATTCTGCAATTTTGTACCTTATATAAAATATTAATGAAGTGATATTTGTTTCGGTTGATATTAGTTGTAATTAATTATTAAGGCCGTATGACACTATGCATTTTCTTGTATCATTTCTTATATCGTTTCTAATATAAGAAAAAAATGGATAGTGTCGTACAAACGTATAGTTTCTTATATCAGAAACGATACAAGAATTTGTGTCGGCTGCATTTTCTTGTACAAGAAATGCGCCAATTTGTGCGCAAAGCCGCAAAAACGTAAAACTTCTGTCATATTGGCGGCTGAAGCCGCTGGAGGAGAACTTTGATTTGATATACAATTAGACCAAGCAGACATCAAAGAAAAGTGTCACCAACAATAACCAAGATTAAAACATCAGTAGCCAAATTGAAAAACAATAAATCACAGGGATTGGATCAAATAGCATCGGAACTACTGAAAGTAGGAGGAGATTTTTTACTAAAAACAATACATAACCTCTCTAAAAATTAGTGATGAGTTTAAAGATTATTTTACATCTCCAAATAAGAGAGTAGAATTTCAAGAGCATGCCATTCAAACACATAATTTAAAAAAAACAAATAAATTATTACAACCAAATTATTTATTATTTCTGTCTTCCATTACAGTCTGTTGAATAACTTTAAAGATTGTGGTTTAAAATTTAGTTTTAATATTGGAACATTTTATTTGTTTCATCTTTGCACCACAATATTTTAAAAAATACTCAGTAGCATTTGCCCTTAATCCCCAGTAGCTTGGGGTCGTCCAGGTACTGCAGTTCTATTTTTGTAGGTGTCAAAATTTAGACCAATCATGGTCCAAATCACATACAATTTCTGGTAAAAGAACTTGCATAGTGTCATACAGGGCAAAAATGTACGTGCGAGAAACGATACAAGACAACATAAATAACTTCCTATATCAGAAACGATATAAGAAATGATACAAGAAAATACATGATACAAGAAAATGATACATTATTTTTAGGAGGCGCTACGAGAATTCAAATTTTATGTTCTACCAATAGTACATTTGCAGTCAGGAGGTTAACAGGTCCATTATTAATCGCAAAATAAATACTGATAGAAGGTCATTTCAAAACCAGTGATCTTAAGAGTTACCAAAGAAGATTTTGGATATCTTCAATATAAAACTGTAAAAACTCTTACTGAAAATCTACGTAATGCCCAAGAACTGAATAAAAGTAGCTATAACATTGATCAGAAATGGGAAAATATAAAAGTAGTAATAATTAAAACAGCAAATGAAAACTTAAAACCAAAGAATAGAAAACATAAAGATTGGATGACTGAAGAAATACTACTATTAATGAATGAAAGAAAATCATTCAAAACAAAAAATCCAATTAAATATAATGAAACTGGTCAATTAATAAAAAAGAGAATAAAAGAAACTAAGGAGAGAATGCTACATGAGCAGTGCCAAGAACTAGAAGTAATTGAGAAAAAATATGACTTTTTTAAAATGCATAAGAGAATTAACAGGAATGAGAAAAACACTTCAAACTAGGCAACTAAGAGATGAAAGTTGTGCACTTATAACAGATATAAACGAAAAAATGCAGAGATGGACACAATTATATAGCACAACTTTTTGAAGACAAAGAGAGAACAGAAGCACCAAAAGAATTTAAGGATGATACTGGGCCTGACGTTATACGAGAAGAAATTGAATATGCAATGAAACAAGCTAAAGGTGGTAAATCTCCCGGGCCTGATGAAGTTCCTATCGAATTACTTAAAATTGTGAATACTGAATCTATTGATCTTCTTTTGGATCTATTGAATACTATATATAGAACAGGTATAATACCTAAAGAATGGCTCCAATCAACAATCATACTGCTTCCCAAAAAAGCCAATGCAAAGGAGTGCAATGAACATCGAACCATAGCCTTAATGAGTCATGTCTTGAAATTGTTTTTAAAAGTAATTCACAATAGAATCCCTAAGAAATTAGATGAAGGCATAAGTAATACACAAATGGGATTTTTGGGAAATAATAAGTACTATTGCTTATTAGATATTAATGATGCTTAGATATTAATCAGGAAGTATATGCCTGTTTCATTGATTTTTAGAAGGCATTTGACAGAGTGCAGCATAACCGACTTTTTACCTAATTCGAGAAATTTTATTAAATAAAAACATAGACAGTAGAGACATTAGAATCATCTGTAACCTCTATTGGAATCAAACAGCAAAAGTGAAAGTTGAAAACGAACTGACCGAGGATATCCAGATTAGCCGTGGGGTCCGGCAAGGGTGTATTTTATCACCCTTGTTATTCAATTTATACAGTGAAGCCAACTCAGAATTAGCGCTTGCCGAAATCAGTGAGGGCCTTATAATAAACGGGGCCATATCCAATTTATGCGGACTTAGTATATTTGTATTGTAAATATAACGACTTTTATAAATTAGAAGTAATATAATATCCTAAGTCAATTCTTTTATTATCTTTAAACTTTTATTATACTTTCCTAATACTACAGTAACCTATATATAATACTATTTTTAAATAGCGACAATAGTTTGCGCTACAATTATTAATTACTTATCGTTTTCCGAACATCCATATATAATGTTTAAGTACTCCTGTAAAATTATGAAAATGTGACTTAGGATGGTATGCTTCCCACATACAGTAAATGTTTTTTAAATTACTTGCAGTAATACACTGTTGTAAACAAGTTTTACACTTGCTTTTCTCCAGTATGCACGCTCAAATGTCTTTTCAAATTACATGCTACAGTAAACTGCTTAAAACAAATTTCACACTTGTAAGGTTTTTCTCCAGTATGAGTTCTCACATGTATCTTCAAATCACTTGCAGTAATAAACTGTTTTAAACAAGTTTCACACTTATAAGGTTTTTCTGCAGTGTGAGTTCTTAAATGTTTTTTTAAATGACTTGCATAACTAAACTGTTTTAAACAAGTTTCACACTTATAAGGTTTTTCTCCAGTGTGAGTTCGTAAATGTGTTTTCAATGTACCTAATTCACTAAATTGCTTTAAACAAATTTCACACTTATGAGGTTTTTCTCCAGTGTGCATTCTTAAATGTGATTTTAAAGTACTTAGTTTAGAAAACTGCTTAAAACAAATCTCACACTTGTAAGGTTTTTCTCCAGTGTGAGTTCTCAAATGTTCTTTTAATTGACTTGCATAACCAAACTGTTTTAAACAAGTTTCGCATTCGTAAGGTTTTTCTCCAGTGTGTATTCTTAAATGTCTTTTCAAAATAAATGCTAAACTAAATTGCTCAAAACAAATTTCACACTTATGAGGTTTTTCTCCAGTGTGCGTTCTTAAATGATTTTTTAAAGTATTTAGTTGAGAAAACTGCTTAAAACAAATCTCACACTTGTATGGTTTTACCCCAGTATGTACTGTCATATGCATTTTCAAACCCCATTTGTGAGAAACCTGCTTTAAACAAATTTTACATTTATAAATTCTTTTTCCAGTCACAATTTTCATATTTTTATTTAATATTTTTCCCCCAGTGTGTCGATTTATAACATTTTCTTCGTAAGATGAATCTTGGATGAGTTTCTCCATATTTTCCATTTTGTTTTCATCTTGGAGATAACCTAAAATACAAACCAAGTAAGTATAATATAAATATTTGAGTATAAGGGAAAATTAATGCAATGAATCAAACATTTTTCACATTTGGTCCGGTTGAAGATAGCCCCAAATTAGCTGTCAATTAAGCTTCATAGAATTAAATATTGTAAGAGTATGTTTTTGTTATATTATTTCATGGATTCTGCAATTTTATGATTTATATAAAACACTAAGGAATTAATATTTGTTTCTTTTGATATTAATTGCACTTAATTATGGGAAATTTTTTCTGGCAATTAAAATATTAAAAATTAAAAAACCAAAATTGAAAGTAGTTTATAAATGGAATTTTGAGAGTCAAAAAGCTAGTCTCAGCGTACACACCTTAATTAACCTTCCTGTAAATATTAACATCTGCATATTATCTGCAATGTAATCTGCATTGCATATTATATAAGCATTAACGAATATGTCTAGTAGTCTCCAAACTAGTCTATATCACCATTTCTTACAGTGTCTCACTAGTCCTTAAGCTGTTACAAGAATGATTGGTCATTCTTGTAACATTCTTGGTCATTGGTCATTGATAATTGGGTCATTCTGCTGACTCAAGCTAATTTCATCCATTAAATCTATTTCGATATCTTCTTGTATACCATTTTTCACAGATTGAGGCAGATCTTCTACTTCTAGTGTACTTGGATATTCTGGTACAGCATTGTTAGAATTATTTAATGCCTCACTGTAATTATCTGATTCTTCGTTAGTTTGCAAGCTTAGATCATCTGGTATAATCTCAAGCAAGTAATTATAAATCTCATTCTATTATTTTTTCCATTTAAAAGAAGAAAGGGGTTAGAATGTAACAAAAAATAGTAAATTTCTTCAAGATGCCTGACAGTACTTTTAAGTCCACAACAAAAAGTAACATTTATTGGCACACACCTTACAGGTAACAAATTGTAATGTTAAGTTGTGTGCTAAAATGGTCATTGTTTTCATACTAAAACAATTTTACTGGTTGATTGAAATTAACCAATATTATTCTCTAAAATGTACTTTAAAGTACCTAGAGGGAAAACATGCTTTAGACATATTTTCAAATACTTAAGTGGTACTTTAAAAGTGTGGGTTGGCAACTGAGGGTTAAACCATAATACTTTAATTAAATTGTAATTGTAATCATATGTTTCTGTCTTCTAGATCTGTAATAGACAGCTCTATTGTCTGTTAATGCCTACTTCCAAGTACCACCAAAGAATATAGACGCTAAGAATATAAGCGTCTATATTCTTTGGTACCACATTCAATACAAGCAAATTAACAACAAAAAACCAATAATATTGTGAAAAAGTAATTCCTATTTATACTACTTCTAAATATGGGAGGACTTGAACATTTTGTTACTAACCGGTTTCAGTTTCTTTATTTTCTTCAAATGGGTTAAATTTATTTTCATGTTGTTCTATTTCAGTATTTATGGAACATTTCTTTAAACCTAAAGAATCATATGTGTCATGAGTACTTTGAATATCGAATGCTCCCTGAATTTCACATTTAAAGCCGTCCAAAACAGCATAATCGAAGTCATTATTCTCTATTTTACATGTTTCCTCGCTAATTTCTTGTTTTACTTCCATTTGACTACACTTGATCTGGCAGAACTAAGAGAAAGTGAGGTTTACTTCAATATTGAATACATTGGAGGTAGGTGATCTGTGATTGAATAGACCCACAATAGACCAGAATAGACTGAATCAGAATCAAATCCGGTAATATACATATATTCTTTATCTGGATATAGTATCAAAGAATATAGACTCTTATCTATCTGTACTGCTAAAGAATTTTTAGTATTCTCCATTCGCTTAGCTCGGGCATATTTTGACAGATTCGTTGTCGGAAACCTACAACACAAAAATTCCTACTTCTCAGTATGAATAGCTCAAATATACTATTATTGCAGACTTCTTCCTTTAAAAAAAGAAGAATTATTCCAAATAGTGGAAGTGTATACTAAACCCATGATACTGTATTCTTAGTATCATGTGTCTAGAGCCTGACCCACTATTCTGTGCAGACTTGCGCAGTTAATTTGTATCCATTTCTGAATGTGTCAATGAGGTTTATGTGTATTGTTGGTTGCGAACGTTTTTTTTTATAAATTAATAATATAATTACTTCAATGATTGATAAATTTAATAATATTTAAATTATAAGAATAACTCTAAAATTAATAGTAAATAATAGCAAATCAAAATTAAAGTTTTTTTTAAAATAGGTAGGTTTAAAATGTATTTTAAAAAATACTTTTTGCACATTTTTTCCAATAAAAATTTGTTATTTTATATACAGGATGTTGACTGATGTTATATATCAATTACTATGATATCAACTTTCTTATTTTAAATGAAACATTGGCTATATTATAAAATTTTTGGATTCTGCACAAAATTCCCAGAACTTTTATATATTGCATGTTATAGTTTTAATTAACTTATTTTAGGATACAGGGTGGTTAACGACTAGATCAATCTCTGCGTGTCTCCTTATGACTTTAAAAGGTTCTATACCTAATTTCAATATAGAAGAGTGAGTTCATTTTCGTATCTCAACTTGTTTTTAATACTGTATACAGTACTCTAAGATATGTACCTATATTTTTTTAAAATATATATTATGTCAAATAAATGAGACCTGCCTATATTTTTGCCAGGTATCAAATGGAATGTACATAGGTATACTTCATCTAATTTAGATAACGACTTACGTCATTATTTACGTCAGAGATCGAAGTTGACATAGTTGCCAAAGTATAAAAAAAACCTGACTCCATTTTAAATCAAATTGGTCACATAATTATTGCAAAAGTGTTACCATCTCTTTACAACGACTATTTAAATTCTTACGTGACATTTTTGAAATAAAACACACTAATTTTGTTCTAAAAAGAACAGATTTTATTAAATAGGTAAAAATATAAAACAAGAGGTATTCACTTTAAAATTTAAAATAATAAAGTACAAAAATTGTAAACACCGCAACTGTCAAATAAGTGTTACCAATTTATGCCAAAATTTTACCTTCATTCGATTACAGTTACAGTGTGTTCCGAACAAATGTTCTTGATAAAAACTCTTTATAATGGATTTATACAAATTAAATGAAACATGTTATTGTGTATTTCTTTAAGTTAACATTAATAGATATTTTTAAATATTATTTCAACGCGTATATAATAAAATATGTCTAGTGGCTGTAATGCCAGTGTACTCGGTAAAGTGATTCTAAAAAGAACACACCTAAACCCTAAATATTTCGTGTTGGTATCATATGACGTCACAGGCTATGATGCCGATGACGTGCATCGTTATATAAATTAGATGAAGTGTAGGTATCTTAAAAGCTGTATATTTAAAAGTTAATATAGAAGGGATTGTGCCTTTAAAACATTGTATATTAAAAACAGTTAAATAAATGCATGGCAATCCAATATATTAACGTTTTTTGAATTTTGTATTGGATCCAATAACTAAATAATATACCTGGTGTTCTATCTAAAATAATAAAGTTGGCATCAGTATTTACATGACATCACACTCTGTATAACAAATTTTTATTGGAAACGTGTGCGCAACAAAAAATATTAAAAAACCAGAGCTTTTCGAGGAACTATTCATCATTTAACAAATAATTTTTATTTAACTGTGCTGAATAATGTATTTCGAAACGGGGAAATTATTCATCTATAGATATTACAAAGAAAAGGTCTCTAAAACGTTTTTGAGCAAGCCAAAAAAATCACATTATAAGGCATGAATGAATCAAATATGTAGCACCTTTTTTGTAGATGTATTATTCAAAAATAAACTGAAACTGTTATTACTATAAAGAGGGATCTGTATAGCTGTAGCTATGCTGGACTTAAATAAAACAACGATTAGATATAAAAAAATCACAAATTTTATTAAAATTATCTATATTTTTTAAATGTGAATATAATTTGGTACATACATTGATTTGTATATGTAATATTATTTTTTTAAATAAATTTTTATATAAATAGTCTATTTACAAACGTACTTACTACTACTACAAATGTACTGACACTTATTTTCATAATGATTTCTATAAACAAAATTTTTGGGCTCTACCTTAAATTCATTATTAGCTAATATATTGATGGAAGACTTCAAAATAAACATTTCTAATCAAAATTTAAAGCCCACAATTTGTTGGAGGTATGTAGATGTGTTGGACACAATTCTGATTAATATAAATAAAAGGTAAGAGGAGAAAGGTAAAGAGTCAATGAAATTTACGATGGAAAAGGAATATAATAACTCATTACCTTTTCTGGATGTTTTAAGCTCAAAGGAAAATAGTGGATATGGGACTCATGTATACAAAAAACTAACACATACGAACGAATATCTAAAGTATAAATCAAATCACAATATAAATGTTAAAAAGGGAGTCATTAAATCATTATATGATAGAGCTAAAATTGTCTGTTCTAATGAAAATTCGTTTTTGAAAGAAAAATAATTATTAACATCTATTATAGTAAGAAATGATTATCCGATGTCGTTTAAAAGTACGGAATTTTCCAGAATAAAGGAAATGGAACAAAATAACAGAAAGGAATCCTGCTACGTTCACACGACAAAATTCGAGGAAAATAACCATAATAAAATAAAATACCATATATAAAAGGATCAGGCTCTAGACACTAGTGAGAAACTAAATCAGCTGAAAAACAAAACAATTATAATGATATGCTGAATGCCGGTACGTAGACAAACTTTTAAAGCAAGCGACTGATGACATAGGATATACTTCTACGGTAAATCCCATAAGCGCCGTATATCAACGGAAAGTTTAAGTTATCAATAGACTAAAAAAAAAAAAAGTGTACATAACTAAATACTTCCTACTATTCATTAAGATTTACATTTATTTTAAATAACTACATCATTTTTAAGTATGAATAAACTTATTTAGAATTATGGTAACAATAAATGACCAAGTGGTGTTCAAATTTTTCTAACAAAAACTTGTGGCTTCTGTCTGAGTACATATATGGAAAAACTTCGTTCAACATCAACTGATGTAACGGGAGCATTTTTCAAACTAACCAAAACATTTGGTTCTAAATTAATTGTTTCCGAAATATTTCCAGCTAGAACACTGACTACTTCAGAAAGAATATGGTAACCTTTTTTTTTTCATAGTAGCTTCAAATTTTTTTAAAATATCTTTTCCAATATTACCTCTAACGTTCCGACAACATGACGCAAATTCTTTTATTAATGCTGTACTTTCGAACAATGACAGTTTTGGTGATTCTAAAATTTGATTTTATAAATGAAAGTTCTTGTTGAAGCAAGTTACTTTGAAAAGTTTGTTTAGAATCCAAAAGAGATTGGGAACTTTCATCTGTTAACGTATCAATTATGTTCTTTATTTTAACAAAATGATCTGCATAAAAATTAGCTGCTTCTAACCATGTTCCCCATCGCGTTAAAATAGGTTGTGGTGTAAAAGAGGAATGTTAGGTAGCATTTCTTTATAAAGTTGAATTCTTATAGGAGATTTAAGAAATACTTTTTTGACACTGGATATCATGGTATTTACAAGAGGAAACTTTTTTCGTATTTCCTCTGCAACTCTGTTTAATCCATGCGCTACACAAGTAACATGTATTAAATCTGGGAAAAATATTTTTAAATTTTGTCCTGCTTTCACCATATAAGGAGCAGCATCCGATAAAATAAGCAGTAATTTATTAGAAGGAATAGTTGTCGGAAGAAAAAAAGTTGCTAATGTTTCTTGTATAAAACGCGAAATTGTTAAAGCATTTGTTTTCTCAAGTTGCTGGCATGAAATAAGATGAGATTTTGGTAAGGTATCTTCTTTAAGAACACCAATCAATAAATGAGCAATATACTTTCCTGAGGAATCAGTGGTTTCGTCTACAGATATGTAAAAATAATTATCTGCAATTTCTTCCTTAATATTAATTAACACCGACGAGTATAGCCCGTTCACATTATTTCTTCTTAGAGACCGATCACTTGGAACATTAAGTTTGCAATATTTTTTTAGAAATGAACTAAAATTTACATTTGCTAATTTTGAAAGCGGTATGTTTGCAGACACTAATGCGCGACACAAGTCTTCATTAAAAGTTTCTTGCTCATCTAATTTTTTTGAAGTAGATTGGAAACATTTAGCCATTGAAGTTTGATGTTTTCCTCCTATTTTTCCTTTTTTTGCAATGTGTGAAGCAGTTCTCACATGTTGGTCTATCTGAAATTTCTTCTCACATGCTATCTATAAATAAAAATAAAAACCTTTATTTTAACCCAACCTTTAAAATATAAAAATATACAAGGTGTTTTTGGTTAATCAAATAACTGGTTTGGAAAAAAAAACACTCGCTAAGTGTTTTAAATGCAGTATTAATCCACAAATTAGTTTTTGTTACTAACCATTAGTACATCATATAACTTATTTTAAAATTCAACAAAAGTTTTTTTTTGTTAATTCAATTACAATAAAAATAATTGTGTTTTAGAATAGCTGACTTCATAAAAAAAAGTAAAGGTGAAAAATTTTTCTAAATACACACCATTGT